GCTGGGTGATGCACCTGGGCTGGCTAGACTTAGGACACGGGCTCCAAGCCTGGGAAAGAGGCAGCAGAATTATGAGACCCAAAGGAACCACAGGGAGTGTGACAGTGAGCTTCTCAGAGGAAACCGCAATGGCCTGTTCAAGTGCCCAGGACATTGGAAGGCCCATGGAGAAGCGGGGTGGGGCATAATGACTGAAAAGATCTGACTCCGCAGAGGTTCAGGGTCAGATTCCAGTTGATGTAAATGCAGTATTTCTTGTGCACCTGGCTTCTAGCCTGAGGTTCAATTCAAATTCATTCCAACACTTAAAATAATGTCCTGCAAGCATTAGAAGGGAATAGAAAGAAACAGTAGAAGCATTAGAAGGAAACCTCCAAGCTTCATTACCTCTGACTTCAGCCCTTTTAAAATGACACTTACAGCACTTGCCCCTCCGTCCAGCCTCCCGGAGACCTGCCGGTAGTGCCCTGGGCTGTACCTCGGGATGAAGGTGCGGAAACCCACGCCGAGGCTGGGGAGGGCAGAGCTGGGCACCAGTGGTGCTGCAGGTGGCTCCGTGGAAAAGGGAGGGGCCAGGAGAGAAGGTCTGGGGTGTAACAATCCCCATTCCTCTGTGACAGCCCCAATAAAGACGAGGTGTCAGGGAGAACTAGGTCCGAGGCCTGGACTGCTAGCCCAGGACTTTGCCTGCAGACAGAGATGCAGAGAAGAATATGACAGTGGTATGTGAGGAGCACTGAATTAACTAAAGCCAAGGTTGGGGGGGTGCTCAAGCCTGTAGGGTGCATGTGTCCTGGCGATGGAAAAGTCTCTCTGGGCCCCTCAGGGATCTGCTGCTGGAAGGTTCACCTGGGCAAAGCAATAGGATGGGCCAAGGTTCTGGGTTAGACTTGGACTTAAGAACCAGAACAGAATGTAGGCGAACCAGCATTGATTATACCCTATTATGTGCGGACGCTTGACACCCACATAGGCAATGTCCCTGTTCACTCTTACACTGGTTCCCATCACAAGGATGAGGAAACTGAGGCAGAGGGATTAAGGCCCCAGAGTCGCTGGGCTCCGGCAGAGGACTGGAACAGGCTGGCCTGTAAACGTGTCGACAATGAGGACTCTGAAAGCAAAGAACAGGGTGCTGTGAGTGAGATCAATGAGCTAGTCTTTCTTTAAATAGACCAGTGAGGGACGACCTCCTCGAGGAGGAGTCCCTGGAGCTGAGATCTCAAGAAGTCAGCCAAGTTAAGAGTGGAGGAAAATCCCAGTGAGAAGGAAGAGCACATGCAAAGGACCTGAGCCAAAAGAGAAAGACATGTTCAAGGAACTGAAAAACAACCAGTGTGTCTGGAGCCTTTTCAGAGAGAAGAAAGGGGACTCAGAGAAGACAATGGGTCACACAGGACCGTGCAGGCCACAGCATGGAGTTCAGACTTCATCCTATGTGCCCAGGGAAGCCCCCAGAGGGGTCCATGCCAAAATGATATGGTCTGATTTACCCAGAGTCTAATACACAGCTTGTCACACACAAGCAGGTCAGTAAAAGGTTGTGGGACATGTGAATAAATAGACTCCAACTCAGTTTTCAAAGGGAGGGGAACTGCTGGCTTTACAGAAGGAAAAGTAAGATTTCAGCCTTTGCCCATGAGAAGAACAAACAATTTCGCCTAATCCAAATTCACTTTCATGCCTCTCTGCCTAAGAAGCACGCAGAGCCGCCGAAATCCACAGGCGCGTCCTGACAATAATTTCAGTGATCATTATCAAATGCCTCTATTTAGAAAAGCTCGGAAGATTGTATTCGCACAATCCAATATTTATGAAATGACACTCTGCCATAATGAGGAGATGAAAAAATTAAGATTAGAAGCCACAGCTGTTCCTTTGGGGAGAGACAGTGACATGGCAGAAAAGGCAGCAACGTCACCCAGCTTCTCAGAACCTTGGCTTTCCAATCTGTAAAAGGGAAGGATGGAGGCCAAGACGAGAAATGTGTGATTGGCTAATAGAGAGCTAAAGGGTTAGGATGTTGTTTATCATCCATTCCTTCATTTAAAAATATATGACAAAGACTATTTACCCATCTAGATGCATCCATCCAACAAAAATGTTATGTAGCACATCCTACATATGATGCACTGTATTAAGCATTGGAGATAAAGCTGGGAACAAGATTGTCAGGGACCCTGTTTACATGGAACTTCTCATCTGGAGGCAAAACATACATCGAACAAATAGCATTAGCTGCGGTGCATGTTACTAAGGAAAAGTGCAGGGTGCAATGGAAACATACGGAGAGCTGACCCAGATCGGGGTATTTAGGGAGAACTGCCATGAGGAAGTGAAATTTAAGCTAAGACATGAAGGGAAGTACAAGAGAATGGGTTGGGGAAAAAGGCTCCAAGAAGAGTGCTGATCTTATGTGAGTTTCTGAGGGAGAAAGGGGTGTGGAGTATTCTAGAAACTGACAGAAGTCAGCGTGGCACGAGCACAGGAGGGGACTGGGACATGGTGCAGCTGGAGGTATGGGCAGGACCAGCCATTGCAGGATCTTGGAGGCCGCAAGCAGAGCTTTGGAGTTTTCTCAGGGCCATAGGAAGCCTCAGAAAGATTCTAAGCAAAACGAAGTGGGGACAGTAAAGGGAAGAGGTAATATGAACAGGTCCATATTCTAGAACAATCTCTTTGGCTTCTGTGTGGGGAGAAGATAAAAGTCAAAAGAAGAAGCCAAGAAGCCTGTTAGAAAACCTTCCAGTTACCCAGGCAAGAGCCGATGGTAATGTGCACCAGGACGGCGGTGGCAGAGAGGAAGAGAGGTGCTCAGGAGACAAAGTGGCAGAACCAAACAATCGATAGGAAGAGAGGGAAGAGAAGAGTATGACCCCTGGATTTCTGAATCAGCACCAGAGTGGACAAAGTGGCCTTTCCTGAGACAAGGAACTAGAGAGTGAGTAGACAGAGAAGGAGAATGGATGAAGCAAGAGTTTAATTTTGGAGATGTTGAGTATGGAAAGCCTGCAAGAGCCTATGGGGCTGTAGGCGGGCTACCCAGGAGCAGAAGGAGCATGTAAACACGTAAACACATGTGTGCGTGCATGTGCGCACACATGCACATACACACTCTAACACCTGGATTTATCTGCCAACATCAAAGACAGCCACATAGAGCAGGGCAGATATGGTGTGTCTCAGCACAGGTTCCCTGGATTCTTGGGGTCCCTAACGGGCTGACTGATTCTGTCGTTTAAACCAAGACACTTCTGAGAGAACAAATTATAATGAGGCAACAGGCACAGAGGTTGTCCCATGGTCACCTTACTAATGAGCAATCTGTCTTTGCTGGTGACTCTGCTCATGCAAAGGAAGATCCTACCAGATCTGAAAAACTCAATTTTGTACCAAAGCACATCTTTGTTATATCTGCGGCTCATGTCTGCACTCAGGAGAAACCTATCCAAACAATTTATGCCCTTAATAGAAACTACACAGCACCATCCCATAGCTTGTTGCTCTGGAGCCAAACTTAAGAGTCAATGAGGCCACAAAGACCATAACCTCCCCTAGACATCTCTCGGCATCTTCCCTGTCTTTAGTTTAGTGACATCTGGAAAATCCCTCTCCCCAGAACCAGCTGAGAAGACATGGCACAGTGAGTCGTGTAGGTCAAGAGTTCAAAACAGGTGTCTGATGGCATCTGAAGCCACAGGCATGACTGAGGTCCTCCATGGTGTGACGGTTGACTATATGATGCCCAAACAGCTGGTAGAACCTTATTCCTGAGTGTGTTTGTGACAGTATTTCCAGAAGAGATTAGCATTGAACAGGTGAATTCAGCAAAGCAGATAACCCTCCCCACTGTGGGAGGACATCGTCCAATCCCCGGGGGCCCCAAACAGAACAGAAAGGCTGAGGCAGGGTGAATTCGCTCTTTCTCTGCTTGAGCTGAGATGTCTACCTTCTTCTGCCCTCGAATGCTGGTGCTTTCGGTTCTTGGGCTTTCAGACTCAGACTGGGGCTCACACCATCAGCCCCCCGCCAGTTCTCTGGCCTCCAGACTGAATGCCAGCACCAGCCTTCCTGACTCTCGGGCTTGCAGAGGGCAGGTCACAGGACTTCTCCCAGGGCTTCTCCATAACATGTGAGCCAATTCCTGTAACAAATCTCTTCTCGTCTGTATCTCTCTCTATAGCCTGTTGGTTCTGTTTCTCTCTAAAACCTACAACACACGCAAAGAGTACAGAAGGAGCCTGAAGAACTCCCACATTTAATGGCCAGAGTGAGTGGACAAAGGAGCCTGAGAGTACTAAGAGGGTTGGTAAAAAGCCAAGACAGTGCGTGGGGTAGAGAGAGCCCCTGGGAGGCCAGGGAGGAACCACAGAGGGTCACTTGTCCTGACAACTGATCACATTTTCACAAAGATGTGATCTTGACGTTCTCAGAGTTCCAATTCTTCCTGTCTTACAGCGTCAGCTCACCCAGGTCTACCGCACCCCCTCCGCATGTGTTCTGCCCGAGCACACCTCCTCGCCTCGCACACACCTCATTGGCCTGCCTCTTGCAGGTAGCCATCAGGAATGCACATTATGGCTTCAGCCCCGTGGGTTAAAGATAAGCCTGGTTTTCAGGATGTCTGGACATTTACTTTATGAGTAATGTTCTCACTGTGCAAGTTTCCCTACATATATAAAGACCTGAAAAGGAAAAAAATGACCTCAAATTCTTCAGAAGCTCCCTCCTTCCCCAGAAATCCCACTATTACCAGGCTCCCAAGCAAAATCCAGTGATGCCCTATTTGGAGCTAAAGCTTAGACTCTCAAAGCTAAATGAAATCGCAAAGGTTCCTGAATCCAAGTAACATGTGACTCTCACCACATTCTTAAGAATTCGCTCAGCCTTGCTTCACATGCCTCTGGGGATGGGGAATTGACTACCAACAAAGTTGTGTATTACCCTCTCAGACGTCATATAACATCGCATCACAGCTCCAAACACGGTGGGTCACCTACCTGTGGGCAGAGCTGGATCCAGCACTGGTTTCTCCCACGTGTTAATCTGCTCCCAGGTAAACCCATTGGTCCCCAGGGCCACACTATAACCACAGTTGCTGTAGTGCTCATCAAAGGAACAGCCACCTGCAAACAGAAGAAAGATGGGTAAATACATCCTCGTGTCTGGGACTGGGTTCGTTACCCCTGTCTCATCGGCTCTTCATTTACAGCTTTGAATTTTAAACTCTGGAGAAGATTTTTGTAAAAAGCAAGCAAATTGGATTTTTATATTTGCTTTGGCGCTCGCAGGAAAGGCGCTGGCATCTGCAAGTCCCCCCATTTTAAAAAGTTAATAAGGCTAGTTACATTGATTTCAATCTTCCTTCCTGAGAAAGTAAACAGCAACGACTCATTCTAAGTAGGAAGCAATGAACGCCAGGGCATGCCTCTGTGACTGCTTCCTGCAACAGGGAAAGGCGCCGCCAGGCAACAGAGAGCACCAGCTTCAGAGCCCAGCAAAACTAGCCACGAATCTCAGCTTCGCAAAGCTGGGTCAGCTTGGTCCAGAGGCTCAGCCATCTATAAAGTCTGGGTCTCAGTTTCTTCTCCTGTAATAGAGAGTGAAAGATCCACCTGACAGAAATACCATGAAGATTATCTGGCTGCACACAATAGGCACACGTTACTGGTACTTTGGGGAACTGAGAGAAGGGCAATGACCAATGTGGATTAACATGGGTTAACAGGCGAGGATCTTCCAGGAGACCAGAGGAAAGGTTAGGAGCAGGCGACAGAGAAGACGAGGCCCCGGATACAGCGGGGAGGGAGGACCTTTTAAAAAAATTTTGTTAATTTGATTTTTTATTTTAGAGAGAGGTAAAGGGAGGGAGAGAGGGAAAGAAAACTCAATTGGCTGCCTCCCCAACCCTGCAGCCCAGGCATGTGCCCCAACTGGGAATCAAACAAGCAATTTTTTGCTTGCACGTTGACACCAACCAACTGAACCACACCAGTCAGGGCCAGAAAAGGATGATCTTTGAAAGCCAAGAGGGGAGGCAATCAACCAGCTTCCACTAGATGTCAAGTGGAAACAGTTCTGGAACATAGTAGGGGCTTAATAAATATTGCATGGCCCTGGCTGCTGTGGCTCAGTGGATTGACCACCAGCCTGCGAACCAAAGGGTCACTGGTTCAATTCCCAGTCAGGGCACATGCCTGGGTTGTGGGCCAGGTCCCCAGTAGGGAGTGCGTGAGAGGCAACCACACACTGATGTTTCTCTCCCTCTCTTTCTCCGTCCCTTCCCCTTTCTAACAATAAATAAATAAAATCATTAAAATAAATAAATAAATATTGAATGAATGAGCTAGTCAGTGCTAATGGGATGTCTGATACAGGCCGGCTATATGCAAGGAACTGCGACCCCATACCAGTCCCCCAGTGCAACCTGCTCTTCCAAGACTCCGATTTGCCACCTGTACCCAGAAAGCTGCATCTCCACATTGCCTGCCTGACAAATTCTAAATGATTCTCCCAGATCACTTCTGTAAACCTTCTCTGATCAGAACAGCAGAGCAAATGCCCCAGATATGAAAACGCAACATACTGCATTTAAAATTTTAAAACCCTAGCAGCAGCAGCTGCAGAGGCTCTAAGAGGGTCAACCTCCTTTCCCTAAATTGCCATCACCCCGCTGGAGGCCAGCCCGTGGGAGACAAATGAATCAGGTCAACAACATTGACAAGAGATCCTGATGCACTGGAATAGATCAGCAAAGGTCGCCTGCAGCCTCTCCAGTGTTCCTCGGAACTGCTGACTGAGAATCAATCCTCAGCCGAGACCAGCCTCCAGGGCTAGAGAGGAAAAGTATGGCCAAGACAGTGCTATGTGTAGAGCACACTGTTCGGGTCTTCTCTCTTGTGCACACAAAAACACCATGTGTCCAGGCCACCTTGTGTTTGGAGAAGACCATGTGATAAACCCTGGAAATACGTAAAAAAGTGGTATCCACCATTTGCAGGACTAGCCCATAAAAATAGAGGCCTACAAGCATCTGTCCAAGCTGTGAGGAGCTTCAAAGCTGTTGCTGAAGGTGCTGACATCAAAGGAAGAAAGATATCTAGGTCCCTGGGACACTCAATGGATGACAGCCACCCAGAAAGTCACGGAAGCAGTAATACTGGCATTCCACATTTCAAGAGCAAAACACCAGCCTTTCTTGGCCTACACCACTGACACCTTAGGGTTAGCTGTTACCACAGTAGAGCCCTGCCCATCCTGACTAATGTAAGAAACGTGCAATTCCTCCATGCTAGGAATACACCAGGCACTGACTGCCTATGCCATCTCATTTGCTCTCACTTAATTATCACAACCTTGTGAAGTAGATTATTATCCCTACTTTAAATAAGTAATTGAGGCATTGAAGGGTTGAGTGACCTGTTCAGGTCACACAGAAAAGAAATGTTAGAGCCAGGTGTAAGTCCATCATAACTTAACCACGGAATCTGTGCTTTTTCTAATAGACCGGAGAGAGAATGTACTCCCCCAAACCAAGGACACAACCTTTCACTTAGAAGGTGATGAGAGGAGAGCAGAAAGATAAAGAACTTCCAAGATGGCTGAGTCTCTCCCATTTGAATCCATTCCCTTGCTCATTCTAGAAACAGTTAATAAAGATCTTTTTTATGGGTTCTCCACAGGAGCACAGAATGAACAGATATGATCCTTACCCTCATGAAGTATTGGGAAAGACAACCACACCAGCATATACTTAAGGTACAATGCAGAAAACACTTTCACAGAGATGAGCCAAAGCTCAGAGAAGTTACTGATAAATTTTAATTAATGGTCTAATTAAACCAATTCTCTGCCTTCTTCTAGACAAGATTTTGGAGGGCTCACAGTTATACCTTTGGGCCTCCCAGCTCATGGATCCCAAACAAGGTCACATTAACAATTTGTCCCTAGTCTACCAGATCAGTTGTCCACTCCTTACCTCCCACTCTCCACCAATGGCAGGTGGCTTGCTCAGCTACCCAAGCTGAGAGCTGATAGGTCCCAGCACTCTAAGGGGACCTATCACAGCCCCTTTTCACAGTCACTCCCTGGGCACCTTGATGCTGCCACCTGCAGAGCTCTGATGGTCACGCCCACCTTCAGCCAGTGAGCAAATGCCTCTCCCTTCTAACCATCTGCTCTTTGATACTGGGGTCCCACAGAAGGGGGCATAGGACCCAGTGACCCAGCTCTTATTTTCAGACCACAGTCCTCTTTTTTCTCCTACAAGGAGCTGGCTTACAGTGGAGTCAAAAGCAGCCTCTCCCTCACAGGTCCAGCAGAAGCAATGCCATTGAGTGTGGTTGGAAGGTATGTGAATGTCTCGCACGAGATGGACAGTGATTTGAACATTTCACCTAAAATGTCATATCCTGTGCTTGAGTGTGATAGTTACAATACAGAATTACATGCTTATGATTTTGTTATTTAAAAAGCGGGGTGGGAGGGGTGGTTATTTGTGCCTGTATTGTGAGCTATTTTTTCTTGTGAACAGTCAGGTCCACGTGTGGGTTCTACCCCACTCTTTCAGAATTTTCTATCCCTTAGGGGACCACGGTGTCCCTCCCTACAGAAGAATATCTAGAAACAGTCCCCCATCCTGCAAGTTATCACATATGTATGTCTAAACCCAGGGGTAACTCAGGGTTCATGACTTTTCCATGGAATTCCAGGGCTCCCAGAAAAGCAAGATAGGTCCAAATGATCGGGGAAGTATCCCTATGCTTTACGTACAGGAAGAACATAGACTCCATTCAAAAGATGCTGTCGAACTGGTCTACCCATTAGCAATGCCAGTCCGGGCAAGGTGGCCTGATAAACACAGAAGCAGGAAACACAGCATGATGGCAAAAAGCAAACTGAGACCAGGAAAAGAAAGCAAAGCAGGACAGAAGGAAAGAGCTGCAAGTATGTTCTGCAACTCTCTTAATGTCCACCTAAGAGGCATTTACATATTTTGATCTGAGCTTCTGTTGGCAAGAAGAACAAGGAAGAGGAAGAGGAGGAAGGGGAGGGGGAGGAGAAGGAGAAGGAGGAGAAAGAGGAAAATCTGGTCAGATACTGGACACTCTGTGTTCATACACTAAAAGCCATACTGCTCAGAAACATTGCAACCATTCCAGGTGTTTAGATAACACGAGAACTTCTCCCCAGGAGCACTGGTAGCAGCAATCCCATATGCCATTATGAACACTATCAGAAACAACATCCAACAAGGGGCACATGGCCAATTTCATGAGATGATTTCTCATAATTGTTCTCAGTATAAACTGATAGCGCCACCCAAACATACAATTCAGGAAAATCAACTTGCTGGGGACGAATGCGATACAGTCTAGAAATCTGCTTCCTGTTGGTCTGGCTTGACCCAGAGATAAGTTTTAAAAATTGTCCAGGAGAGAAAATATATTTAATAAGTATATCTGAAGTAATCCTCCTTGAATTTTCTTCTTCTCAACCAACAGATGGAGAAATAGAGTGTCTATGAGCTCCAGATCCTATACCCTGACAGCAACCTACCCTGCCAGCTGGGTACATACAGCCCCATTTGCTGACATCTTTTCCCCATTTTGGGGCCTTCATTTTTCTGGTGTACAAGGCAAGGGGCTGGTGAAGGTGAAGGATTCCAGAGACTTAAAAAGGACTGGGAACTTGCAGTAGCCACGGCGATGCAGAGCCATGTCACCAGCCCAAGGACCAGCTACTGAGAATCACAGGAACAAGAGAAAGAAAAGACTAGCTGCCTCCCCAGACCCAGAGCATGAAATATTCAAACCCATGATCTTGAGTCTCATTGCAGCTCTCCTTGCTCTTTCAAAAATTATGTTTATCTGTCTTAGTGAAATTCCTTGGGGCCCAAACACCGGACAGAAAGTAGCCTGCCATGAACACCTGGCCGTGGCCGCAGATGTTTGTGGCAGACGACTTGCAGAAGACTTGTGGTGGGAGAGATTCCCCAAAAGACACTGGTACGGTTGCTCACCTCATTCAGTCTTAAGGAGTAAGCAGCCCCACTGAACTGATGTCAACCCCATCACAATCATTTCGGGAGATATCAAAACCCTCCTAAACCTACCCCCTACCCCAG